TCTCCCTGCGGGCCTGGGCTTCTCCCCCCCGCGGCAGCGGCCGAACCCAAGCCCGGGGGCTCCCTCGGCCCGCAGGCCCCAGCGTGGCGGCCGCCCGGCCTAGGCGCGGTGCGAACAAAACCCCTTCCCCGGAAGGCCCCATGGCAGACCCGGCCTGGGAGCGCTTTCCAGGCCCTGCTGCTTGAGGTCTAGTCTCTGCCATCTCGGGGCACCACGAACGGGGAAGGAGCCGCTCCGAGTTCTTGTCTTGGAAGGGGGCCTTCGAATTTAAAACATGTGCCATGGGAAGAAAAAAACAAAACACAAACAAACAAAAACACGGAGCGAGGTCATGCAGTCGCCTTGGGAGATAATGTGTGCTCACGTCCATCTACAAAACAATGTGTGAGGTTGAGCCCCGTACGCTTTGGGTGTGTGAGAAAGAGAAGACCTTTGTCATCTAGGTGCCTGAGACCTAAAACGCCGGCCTCCATACCAGGCTGTGGCTCAGACAATGATATAATATTCGAGCTTTTGGGTTTTTTTTTTTTTCTTACACACTGGGTGTGGTGGCACAGGCTTTTAATCCCAGCGCCAGGTGAGACAGAGGCGAATGGATCGTTGGAAGCCGACCTGAGATCCTTTCTCAAAAAAAAAAAAAAAAAAAAAAATCCATGGAAAATGCAGAAATGAAAAAAGTTACCCTGTAGTATCACACCTGAAATACAAGTCCCTTAGGTGTGCCCTCTGCTAATAAGCATTCTTCTTTAAAAAAAAAAAAAAGGATATGTGTGTGTGTGTGTGTGTGTGTGTGTGTGTGTGTGTGTGTGTGTGGTGTGTGTGTGTTTGCCTGTGTTTACATTTGCGCACCCTGATGCCTGCAGTTCCTTCAGAGGCCTGAAGACGGTACCTCAGATCTTCTGGAACTACAGTTAGAGACCATTGTGACCTCCGTGTGGGCACTTGGAACCAAACTGCTGAGTCTGTATCTACAACCCCCTACCCCCTAATTTGGAGGTAGGGTCTCACTAGATAGCCCTGGCTGGCCTGGAACTCATTGTGTAGACCAGGCTGGCTTCAAACTCACAGTAATCTGCCACCCCCTGCCTCTGCCTCTTCCTCTGCCTCCCAAGTAATGGGAGAAAAAGTGTGAGCCACCATATCCAGCACCTTTTGGATTTTGAGACATGGTTTGTAGTATCCCAGGCTGGCCCTGAATTCGAGTTGTATCGAAAAATGGCCTTGAGCTTCTGATCCTCCTGACTCAGCATACCAAGTGTTGGGATTACAGGAATGAATGCACCATCACACCCTGCCTAGCGTGTTCCTTAAATCCTTCGGTATCCATCTTAAAAATCCATGCTGTGTATCAGTGAAAACTCAATAGCAATTAAAATGATTCAAAAATACTTGTTAAGTAAATCTCTGAGCACTTACCTTCTAACCCAGTTGCTTATTAACCAAGACTCACATAGGAAACTTTTGATAACTCTTTATCTTATCCCACTGTGGTGGCTCATACCTGTAATCCTAGTACTAGGAAGGCAGATCTCTGAATTCATGGCCAGCCTGGTATACATAGGGAGTTCCAGGCCAGCCAGGGCTACACAGTGAAACTTTGTCTCAAAGCAAAAACAAACAATAACTTAATATCTTTTGTTATGGTGACATCAGTAATCTACACTGATTTCATAAAAGTAACATAATGAATGTAATGTGTTATAATTTGTATTTTTATTGCCTAAGGAAATAGATGAGGATCATCACAGGATGTGGGGACAGTCTTTGAAAGACATAGCCTGTGCTGATGACTCAGTTTAATACTGAAGCATGTCGATAAATAGGTAGACAAGGGGTGACTAGTCTTACTTACAAAATATAAAGAAAGTATGCCTCTCATTTAAAAAATTCATGCTGGCTTTGTGAAAGAAGGTACCAGGAATCAAAAGATGCAGGTAGATGGCAAAGGTGAAGAAATCGAGTTTTCCCTGGAGTCTAGAGAAAGAACTTAGAGCCTTGATTTTAGCCCAGTGAGACAGATTGTTGACTTCTGACCTTACACAACTGTACTATGATAAACTTGGGCTAAATTGCCAATTTAGTAATATAGTGATTTATCCCACTGTGGTAGCTCATACCTGTAATCCTAGTACGTGGAAGGCCGATCTCTATGAGTTTGAGGCTAGCCTGGTATACATAGGGAGTTCCAGGCCAGCCAGGGCTACACAGTAAAACTTCACCTCAAAACAAAAATATGAGCCGGGCAGTGGTGGCGCACACCTTTAATCCCAGCATTCGGGAGGCAGAGGCAGGCAGATCTCTGTGAGTTCGAGGCCAGCCTGGACTACCAAGTGAGTCCCAGGAAAGGCACAAAGCTACACATAGAAACCCTGTCTCGAAAAACCAAAAAAATAAATAAATAAATAAATAAATAAATAAATAAATAAATAAATAAATAAATATTACATTAATTAATACACAGAGTGGGAAATTAGAAAGTGTTGTCATTTTAAAAGAATTTAAGTTACTGTGGTGGTACATGCCTCTAGTCCTACCTAGCACTTGAGAGGATCTACGATAGGCATACTCTGTGAGTTCAATTCTAGCCTGGTCTACATAGTGAAATTCTGTAGGTAGATAGATAGATACATAGATACATAGTTACATACATAGTTACATAGATAACTGAATTGGGCTTTTTCAGACAACAGCTACTGCTTCATTATTTTTTTATTTTGGGATTTTTTGTTTTGTTTTGGTTTGGTTTTGGTTTTTCAAGACAGGGTTTCTCTGTGTACCTTTGGAGCCTGTCCTGGATCTCCCTCTGTAGTCCAGGCTGGCCTCGAACTCACAGATATCCACCTGGCTCTACCTCCCAAATCCTGGGATTAAAGGCATGTGCCACCATCTGCTTTACTTTTAAGTGTTAGTAATTCCAGTTAGGGTCTGTGGAGCACCATCATTCCTATTTTAAAGCAAAAGTTTGGACTAAACCAACCACCTGAAGGCTTGTTACAAAACACTGTTTCACCCAAACCCCAGAGTGTCTGACGTAATGCATCTAGAGTGAGACTAGAGAAACTGTGTTTCTAACAGGTTCCCAAGATGCAGTCACAGCTCATTGGGGGCTATACTTCTAGAGTGAGATTCCAGCTGTCTTTTAAATTCCTTCCTAGTTCAGGTATTCTCATACTGAGCCTGCAACTAGAAAGCCTTTCCATACTCGGGCATATTGTAGTGATATTCCCTCAAATCACCATTACTCCTAATGCGTATGATCAACCAAGAATCAGTAGTAGTATTGTGTGTTTATTCAGCATTCATGGCCTAGAAAATTTTGTATTTAGAAGGTGCTTCTGTAACTATATATTCGGTATATTCTCAAAACTACTCAGTTAGCCAACCCCCTTCTCCTCCTCTTCTTCCTCCTGCTCCTCCTTCTCCCCTTTTTTCTGAGGGAGGGTCTCCCTATAAAACCCAAGCCCCTGTTGTCTCAGCCTCCTCAATACTGGATGGTATATGGGTGTGTACCACTATGCCTACATTAGTCCTTCTTGATGCATACATTTTTGAAGCTTGTGGACATCGCTACAATTACTGATGACTAATTCAAACGCAGTTATTGTAGTTATTCAATTTTGATTAAAAGCCAGCCATGGGCTAAGCAAGTTGGCTCAACAGGAAAAGGCACTTGCTCGGCAAGCCTTCAACCCCTGAAGATCATACAAAAAAACAAACAAACAAACAAAAAACCAATGCAGGGCTGTTGATATGGCTCAGAAGGTGGAGTATGGCTAGACACCTGCTGTGCAAGCCTGATGACCACAGTTCGACCCTGGGAACCCAGGTAGAGGTAAAAGGAGAGACCGACTCTACAAGTTGGTTCGCTGACCTCCACATGTACACTCATATCCACAGACACACAGAGAAAAACAGTAGTGAATAAACTATTTTTAACAGCCCCAATTGGTGGTGTGCTTCTGCTATCCCATCACTCCACAAGATGAGATGCAGTGAAATGAGACTTGTCCCCAAGTAAGGTGGGAGGAGGAAACCATCTCTGAAAGTTGTCCTCTGGCCTCCGCACACTCACATACACTATAGTAATAAACTTCAGAATAAAAAATAAGTTTGTCTTAACCCTTTTTAGTACCATGTCTTTATCATATAAATTTAGCAAACGCCATTCAACTATCAGCCAACTGATAGTTGGCATAAAACATAAAGGAGAAAAGTTAGGTTATTTTCGGTTTATATGAGTGGGTAATTAACAGTAAATAATAGGATGTTTTGTTTTATCTGATTATTTCATTAAAGAAAATTTGGGGGGCTAGGGATGGAGCTCAACTGTATATAAGGCACGTGTGCGTTTGGTATATGTGAGGCCCGGCCTGGCCCTAACCCTACCACAGGGCACTTCTGTGCTCTCCGCTTCAGCCTTCCTGCTTATTACAGAGTAAAACACCCGCTACGAGCTGAGCACTCCTCTAATTTA